GTGTGTGTGTGTGTGTATGTGTGTGAGAGAGAGTGTGTGTGTGTGTGTGTGTGAGAGAGAGAGAGTGAGAGTGTGTGTGTGTGTGAGTGTGTTTGTGTGTGTGTCAGTCACCTGGGACTGCCACTATTTTCCTCAGCTCCTGCTTCAGCTTCATAATGTCTTTGCAGAGCTGAATATCATCCATCCTGAGAAGAACATGAAAGAAAACCAGTCGCTCAGATTCCGCCATTCCAGAACTATGAATTTTAAAGAGGAAAATTGAGGAGAATCTCAGCATTTCTTTCTGAACACATGCAGTAAATGCAGCAGCTACTCACATGAAGCGCAGCTCAGACTCGCGTCTCACCAGCACCTCCCGCAGACGCTGAATCCGAGCCATTTCTGCCTCCATCTCGTCTGCAGATATGGAGCTTTCAGCCATGGACACGTCCATCTGGCCTTGAGTACAAACAGATGGTGAGTGAGAGAGTGTGTGTGTGTGAGTGTGTTTGTGTGTGTGTGTGTTTGTGTGTGAGTGTGTGTGTAAAGCTGAACTCTGTGCTGTGATTGGTCAGACACACAGCGGGTGTTTCTTCAACTTCAGGCACTTTTGTGTCTCAGAGACTGAACTTCTTTTTTTGTTATATAAAGGTCACTATTACATGTTATCTGTTTGTTTGGACTTTTATGTTGTAGTTCTTGTTTCTTGGTTTCCTGTGTTGGGTTTTGTAGTCCTTTGTAGCTTTATTAATGAGTCTTGTTATCTCGTTAGTCTGTCTGAATGATTAACCCTTGTGTTCCCATGTTTGTTGGTCAGTTGTTAGATGTACGTGTTCCAGTTCCCGGTGTTACCTGGTCCTTGTTCTGGTTTTGCTCTTCTTATTAAAAATCCCACGTCTCCTGCTGCCATCCTTTGCTTCCCGTGTTACAGAACAACTGGCCGTACATGATCTATCGTCTTTCTCTGCCAGGATGATCGTTCTCTCGGGGACCACATTCGTGAGTCTCTGGAGTTTCTCCTATCACACACACTTCCAATTATCTGATCATTCTTTATTGCTCTGGACTCAGTGACCCACTTCAAACCCAACTTTGCAGTGACGTCCTCGAGGGAACGAGCTCTTCAGCAAAGCGGATCAGCTTCCCAGTGGAAGAGGTCGGAGCCTGGTCCACCGAACTCACAGCCGGGCCGGTCCTGGTCTCTGGTGGTCTTGGAGGTCTGTCCATCATCAGCTGTGCTCGCTGATGTTTGTCTGCTACAGCTCTCTCTGTGCTCTCTGGCCCGGCTGCACTGTGGTGGTCTTCTCCTGCTGCTCACGAGCCTGACCCTTCGTGCTCTCCGCTCCATCAGCCTCCTGGACTCTTCTGTTTATTCAGCATCTGTGGCTCTGTTTCATGTTCCCTGGACTTTCAGTCACATTAAAACTATCCTGGACACTTTAAAGATCTTCCTGATTACTAGAAAGCTGAGTTTGATCAGGTTTGGAACTAAACTCTGAGCTGAGAAGCCTTGTTCTACAAAACTGATGATTTATTGTGAAATGTTTTCTCTCTCTCTCAAAATGTTTATTTAATACCACCACAAAGGGCAATTTTTCCATTAATGCCACTAAAAGGTTTTAGTATTAATTTTACCAGAACACCAACAGCGTTACTGAAGCGCTTGAGATGAAATGTGAGGCATGGGTTGTTTGAAGAAGCACATCAAAAATCATTTTATTACTAAATGTTGCACAAGTTCACCTGCTGGTGTAATTCTTGGGTGTAATTAATGTAAACTGATTTGGCTTACTGTCCAAGACAGACAGATCAAAGCTTGACTTAATTATTACTAAAATTAGTAATAAAAGAATAGGAATATAATGTAATGGCTGAAAGAATTAAAAAAAGAGTATTGAAAGCTGTTTCAATACTTCAATGTATTATAACTGACAGGATAAGACTCCAGTTAACATGTCATTTCCACCACAGATGCTATTCAACATTAACATATGCTGTATCATAAAAATAACAAAACAAATAAATCGTGTTCTGTCCACAGCTGCACATTGTCAGTGGACAGGTGAAAAGAGCTGAAGAAACACACAAGCATGTTTCAAATGAAAGGGTCACTTAAATAAATACATTGATGACCCTCAAAAACAGGAGAGCGCAGCTGAATCATATCTGATAACAACACTGCAATCATATCTAATAATAAGACTAATATCGCATTGACAATAATCGCATGTGTGATAACAACTGAAATCATATACGGCCTAATATCACGTCTGATAATAAGAGTGAAACCATATGCGATCATAAGACTAACATGATATCTGTCTGTCACCTTTGTCTCTGCTCCGGTTTGTCTCCTGCAGCGCGCCGTAGGTTTTCATCGTCGCTTCGCTTTCAGAAATGGCTTTCTTTAACTCCATAGTAAATGTTGATGTCACAGATCTCGGATTCCGTTGATTTTGTCGCGTTCTCGTCGCTGTAATCACGCTGATCTGCGCTCATCCGCGGAACCGAACAACATCATGACGGAATGAAGCTGCGTGACGTCACCGTGAAGAGGGATGCAGGGCGCATGCGCACAAAGGATGAGCAAGGGATGCTTAATCTGCATTTTATAGCCTACTGTTGCCTGAATCTGACATACAGTCGGATAGTTGTTTCTAGTTGTTTTGATTAGTGAGCCTGTGAGTCTGATTGTTCTTTTTGAACAAAATCAGCCGCTTTGCTGTGTGAACCTCCTTTAAATAAAATAAAGTTCATGGATGTTGCTTGAGTGAGAAAGTTGGAAAAAGGACAGCACTGCAGGATTTGGAAACATCTATCCGACTGTCAGATTTAGACAACACTTCATATGCATAAATGATTAGTTAATAAACTGAGTATCGATCACGAACCTTACAGTAAATGATCGTCACATTACTCATTAACAGTAATAATTACTGTTACATAATTAACAGTACTAAAGTTAAATAAGTGTTGCGCTCAGTTTAGTTCATGACAACTGTCTGTTATATTCTAAAGTCCAACCCATTAAATAATCTGAAACAACAAATGCCTGAATGTTATGGAAAAAACATGGTTTTATTCTGTTAACATATAATTTACAGTAAATACAGACTACAGTAATATTTCTCCCATATCTGTAGATGATTCATTCATTGAATTAAGAAAAAATTATGAAGATATTCAAGATATTTAGTATTTAGCACCAACCAATTAAATACATTTTAAATATTTTCATCCCACTGGAATTGCTGTAGTGTGCGAATCGAAAAAGAGTGCCTTAAGATGCATGAAAACAGATGACTAAAATTAGAAAAGATATGTTTGAAACAAGAATTAGCTGCTTTATGCACAAATATATAGGAAATACTAGTATTAAAACAAACGCAAAACAGGTTGGCATAGATCGTGTTTATAAGGTACCTTGCAGGCAAAAACTAAGCAGCAAACACAAAGTCAAACAGCTACAGAAATGTGGCACGTGACCAGATGTCAGAAAACTCTTCGTGATCATTCATTGTTAATTGTGAAGGCTAAACCTGCCATACTTCCAGAGAGAATAAACCCGTCAAACACTACATGCATTTATTAGCACAACAACTGTATTCATATCCCAGGAACTGTGTGAATGACTGAGAAACAAACAATACCAATATAACAGGAAGAATTAAATAGGATTGATTTCTTAAAAAAAAAAAAAAGGCTTTAGTTTTTTAAAAACAACAAACTAAAAACAAAAAGGAAAACTGGATCTGCAGCAAGTACAGACTGGCCACAAAATAATCTCAGGATGTTTTGCAAACGGGACAGTGTTTTAAACACTGCGGAAACTGGAGAAAACCCGAAAACTCCTCAGACTGCAAGAGTATAGAATACAGATGCGAAGGAGCATCATTCAGCCCTGTCCTTTCCTGAGATCCGTTCCCAGTCCAGAGCCGTCTCCAGAAGCAGAGGAACGGGCCCCAGATGAAGCCACAGCAGCCGGATCAGCGGAGGAACCAGAGCCAAGATCAGGAACTGTGTGTCATGAAGAGCATTAGTGTGTGAGAACAAACCATCGCTTCATTCAGATCACAGCCAACCTCTGCATGCGTGTCATGTGCTGCTGCTGAGATCTACCTGCACACCAGTCCCGTCTGCACAAAGAAACAAACACAAGACTGTCAGCAAAACTGAGGCTGTTCTGCTGCCTCATAAATCTGAGATTGTCCAGTACGACAGGAGCGAGAGACAGTTCTGATGCTGAGATCTGTTCAGTCTGTGAACATCAGCTCAGCCTCACCTTTACTTCTCCCTCCAGTCCTGCATGAAGCTCACACCTGAGCTCGTCTCATCAGTCACACAGAGACTCACCCGCACAGAGACTCACCCGAGCTCGTCTCATCACTCGCACAGAGACTCACCCGAGCTCGTCTCATCAGTCACACAGAGACTCACCCGCACAGAGACTCACCCGAGCTCGTCTCATTAGTCACACAGAGACTCACCCGAGCTCGTCGCATCAGTCACACAGAGACTCGCCCGAGCTCTTCTCATCAGTCACACAGAGCCTCACCCGAGCTCGTCTCATCAGTCACACAGAGACTCACCCGCACAGAGACTCACCCGAGCTCGTCTCATTAGTCACACAGAGACTCACCCGAGCTCGTCGCATCAGTCACACAGAGACTCGCCCGAGCTCTTCTCATCAGTCACACAGAGCCTCACCCGAGCTCGTCTCATCAGTCACACAGAGACTCACCCGCACAGAGACTCACCCGAGCTCGTCTCATTAGTCACACAGAGACTCACCCGAGCTCGTCGCATCAGTCACACAGAGACTCGCCCGAGCTCTTCTCATCAGTCACACAGAGCCTCACCCGAGCTCGTCTCATCAGTCACACAGAGACTCACCCGCACAGAGACTCACCCGAGCTCGTCTCATTAGTCACACAGAGACTCACCCGAGCTCGTCGCATCAGTCACACAGAGACTCGCCCGAGCTCTTCTCATCAGTCACACAGAGACTCACCCGAGCTCGTCTCCTCAGTCACCCAGAGACACAGAGACTCACCCGAGCTCTTCTCATCAGTCACTCAGAGACACAGAGACTCACCCGGGCTCGTCTCCTCAGTCACACAGAGACACAGAGACTCACCCGAGCTCGTCTCATCAGTCACACAGAGACTCACCCGAGCTCGTCTCCTCGGTCACACAGAGACTCACCTGAGCTCGTCTCCTCAGTCACACAGAGACACAGAGACTCACCCGAG